AATAATAAAAATAACACAACAACGGTGGCGCCCCGAAAACGAGTCGAAATATCCTCGCCGGCAGTGGTGTATGTGCGTTCGCCACTGCACCGCTGGGCCGTTATTCGAATATACAATATTTATAACGTCGGTAGTTTGGAAGTCGAATCAAAAGAACATTTTCTCGACGCATCTCCCGCTGTAAACCAGTACACTACACCACGCATTATACACATGTACACTCGAACGCTTTCAGAATATGAAAAACTGCCAGGCGATAAAACATTTATGGGTGACGTGGTGTTTTTGTTGTTTTTTTTTTCGCCGTTGGATTTATTCTCTAGCGTAACTTTGTAAACTACTGTTATCGGTCGGCCATATATACACATCACCGTTGACCACACACACACACACACACACACACACACACACACACACACATACGCACGCGGCGCTCACAAGATGCCACCACGTACAATCGTCTTTTTAGAAATAAAATAAATAAAACTTATATTCTCCGCCGAGTTCGACACGAGAATTTATATCAAGTCATGCACGTATACACTGTTCGTTCAAATTTAGTATAGATCGTCATTAATGTTTAAACACATAACAGTTGTATGAGATTTCTCGGAAATATGTGCTATCGTCGTCTTATGTACGCACCCGAAATACCAAATAAAGCATAATTTACGGTRCATGCATAATTTAGGTGTTCATATTATTATGTATTGGATGTTTTGATGKCTGTACCGCCATTAAAGTCTTATCCGAGAAGATGTATTAATATACAATCATCCACTAGCGCATTAGATAGGTATTACATGTGTATAATATGATTATGGTATCGAGAAGACGTGCGTATAGTCATAAGTCGCCATTAATTTGTGTTTGTTCACGCCATCATGAAAATTCATTGACCTGTTTTCAACTAGAAAACGTCTGGATGCTATATATTAATAAACATTAATAAAAATATGAAATCTGCAGGTGTGTGAACTGGACATCCGATAGACCTAGAAAATTCTATCATTTGCGAACACTAAATAATTTAATATTATTATAAAAGTTGCAATCAAATGAAAACGGCATAGTTTTACCAAAATCAATAATTTTATTGTTTGCAATTAAATATGTTGGAAATATTTTTATTRTAGTTTTACGCGGACAAAATATATGGTATATCTTGAACAAAAACAAAATTGTTCTTTCTACTGATTTCGTAACATTTATGATCGTGATAAAAATGAGTTTGTGATTTACATACGATAAAACTCAGTATTAAAAAAGTTTTGGTTTCACTTTCATAACTTTGATTTCAAAAGAACGAACAAATGGCCCAGAATGTTGTCTGTTACCAAACATTAAAAGTCRCGAKCGGATTAAAATGAGAATCCCAAGACCCAAGTGTTCGATGGCATACAGAGTCACTGTCTGCCATAATAATAATATAGTATGCAAATATTGAAATTAAATTTTGTTTTCGTCTTAACTATTAAAAGTATATTATATAATTTGTACAGATATTTAAACATATCGTTTGATGGCATACGTATTATATTTGCATCGACATCATTGACATCATTGACATCATTGAATGTTTATTCAATGATAGATGGACGATGCATGATGTGTTCAGTCATTGGACTTGGGTTTTAATTTACATGGCATAAGAAACAATTAATTATCATTATATATATATAAATCATTAACGGTGTGCGTGTCATGAATTTTATGTTTACAGTACCTCCGGATCGGCTGAGCGTGCTGAACGAAAAAGGAGATCACATACCACATTACATACTCGGGCCGTACAAAGAAGGTGTTACTGTTGATATCACGTGCATCGCAAGTGGAGGTGAGCTATTATAATATTTATCATCGATTTACGTTAACGGTCGACGGTTTTACGACATAATAAAATAATTACCCGATGCACCATATACTCGTATATATTATAATATACGTTCATCGGAGACTGCTAGCTKCTGGACAGCGAGATGAGTTTGAGAGAAATCTTATCGCCTCTCCCGTAATGGAAGTTTACGTGTGAGT